CCGGTCACTCCCAATCACAGTGCCGACTGGAGGAGCTGCTACTGAATCACTCCCAACAACAGCACCAACAGGAGGGGCTACTCAGTCACATCCAGCTACTGCTTCATCTGAAGTAGTGGCTACTGAGTCACGCCCAGGTATCTCCCTGGTCGGAGGAGTTGCTTCAACTGCCCCTCCGGTGTTTCCCCCCGCTGCTGGAGGTGGCCCTGCCTCTGAGGGACCGAGATCCTCTCCTGCTGGGGGTGGCGTGCCTGCCAGTGCATCGACCCCTGCCACAGTCTCCGCTCCTCCATTTCAGCCTCCATTTGCGCCCATTGTCGTGACGCAAGCCTGTCCACCATGTCCCGCTCCTGCCGCACCGACCTGCGCACCCTGTCCCGCTCCTGGCACGAGTACTGCTACTGCCACCGTCACCGTTACTGAGACAGTTTGCCTTGGTTCTCAGATTCCTCAAGGAGCGGGTGGCTCAACCGCATCTCCAGGTGTGCCCGCCATTTCACCTCAATTTACTCCAACGGGTCCTGGTGTCCTAACTCCGACAGCCGCAGGCCCAGGCGCTCCACAAGGCCCAACCGTGACAGGAACACACATTTCGAGTGCGCCTCAGGCTCCTAGCGGAGGCCTAGGCGCAACTGCGGGACCTTCAACTCGGCCAGCGGCTTCGGCTACTGGGGTTCCCGGTGTACCGCAAAGTCCTGGAGGCGGAGGCGCAGCCGCAGGACCTACAACAACTCTGCCAGTAACTTCAGCTACCGGCATTCCTAACATCCCACAAGGTCCTGGAGGAGGTCCAATCGGATTCCAAAACACCACTTCAACCCACGTTGTAGCTACAACTACAGAAACCATTGTTTCAACTGTTCTCCTCCCTACTACAGGGGTTGGAGTTGCAACATCGGGTGCTGCTCAAACTTCCAGACTTGCTGTGACTACAGGAACCAGTTTCGCAAATGTCACACGCACTGCCGGGGCCGGACCAACTGGGTTGCCGAGTGTGACCTTGACCTCTGCCATACCTACAGGCCCTGGCGTCTCTAACGTCACTCGTACTGTTGGGGGAGGTGTGCCTGTCTTAACTCCTGCTATCACCACGAGTCCTGCCACACCAACCAGACCAGGCGGAACAGCACCACCAGGCGGAGGTGTGCCCATCTCAAATCCTACTATCACTACAAGCCCTGCCACAGCGACAGGACCGGGCGGAATAGCACCATCAGGCGGAATAGCACCATCAGGCGGAATAGCACCATCAGGCGGAATAGCACCACCAGGCGGAACAGCACCACCCGGCGGAACAGCACCACCCGGCGGAACAGCACCACCCGGCGGAACAGCACCACCAGGCGGAGGTGTGCCTGTCTCAACTCCTATTACTACAAGCCCTGCCACGCCAACCAGACCAGGCGGAACAGCACCACCAGGTGGAGGTGCGCCCATCTCAAGTCCTACTATTCCTACAAGCCCTGCCACCGCGACAGGACCAGGCGGAGCAACACCAGTAGGCGGAGGTGTGACTGTCTCCACTCCTATTACCACGAGCCCTGCCATGCCAATCAGACCAGGTGGAACAGCACCGCCAGGCGGAGGTGTGCCTATCTCAAGCCCTACTATCAGTACAAGCCCTGCCACAGCGACAGGACCGGGCGGAACAGCACCACCAGGCGCAGGTGTGCCCATCTCAAGTCCTACTATCAGTACAAGCCCTGCCACAGCGACAGGACCAGGCGGAGCAACACCAGTAGGCGGAGCAACACCACTAGGCGGAGCGCCACCATTAGGCGCAGGCGTGTCTGTCTTAACTCCTATTTCTATAGGCTTTGCCACGCTGACCAGGCCGGTTGGAGCGACACCATCAGTTGGAACAGCAGCAGCGCCAGGTGGAGCACCAGGTGGAACAGCAGCAGCGCCGGGTGGGACATTGTTACCTGGCGGAGCAGCAGCAGGTGGAGGAGCAGCAGCTAGCAGAACATTATTACCCAGCGGAGCACCAGCACCTGGTGGAACACTGTTACCTGGCGGAGCAGCACCTGGTGGAGTAGCAGCAGGACCTGGCGGAGCAGCAGCAGCAGGTGGTGGAGGAGCAGCAGCTGGCGGAACATCATTACCCAGCGGAGCACCAGCACCTGGTGGAAYACCGTTACCTGGTGGAGCAGCACCTGGTGGATCAGGACCTAGCGGAGTAGCATCAGGACCTGGCGGAGCAGCAGCAGCAGGTGGATCACCAGCACCTGGCGGAACATCATTACCCGGCGGAGCAGGAGCAGCAGCAGCAGCAGGTGGAATATCAGCAGGAGGAGCCCCAACAGCTGTAATACTTGGCGGAAGTAACACTGTCACCTCTACTACCACCACCATCCAAGTCGTCCAAACGTTATCCGTTCTACCTAGCCGCCCTCCCCCTCCGCAAACACAGGGAAATACGATTACACGTCCGGTAACCACGAGCACAGTGACCGGAGCAAGGACACCGCAGCCCACTGCCGCTATTGATCCAAAGAAGCGGACAGTGGCAGAAAAGACAGACCTCGCCCGGCCCGATAAACTCAAGGCGAATCCTATTGTGTTCCGCCGTCGGACCTGAAAATATCCATCTTAGATTACGATCTCATCACTATACCGTAGTTTGAGAGGAAAATGAGTCCCAATTAATCGGGGGGCTGTTTGTTCCTTTCTTAGTGCACGTGCATCCAGTCCGCGTTGTCCTAGTTGGATTAGATAGGCATTCGGTTATATTCGGAACAATCAAATGTTAAGGTCAGATCTAAACAGATAATACTGAAAAAGCGCTCTCTAGCAAGCGACTACCCAGTTTAAGCATCACAATGCACAGGCTGTGTGTAACAAAAAGAAGGGGGCTGTCCTCACGATGTGATATTTCTGCATTCTTCCTCGGTAACGACAGTGTGATCAAACTGTTCGGAACTCGTACGTGCGAAAACAATTCTCGTAGTAGGGGAATCGGAACGAAGAAGACAGAGATGCAGACCAAGTCGAAGCCAGTAGACTTCAACACGGGGACCTCGCCTGCCCGAATTTAGAAATTAGATACAGTACAAGTAGAATAGAAACGAAGAAGGAACAACGCTTCGACGCAGATATGCATGAAACATAGGTGATAGGTTTCGAGAGGATTGAGAAGAACAAGGGAATCTCGTTTGGATAGTCGGAAATATGCAGCGAAAAGTAGAATTCTCGCGGAGAATGCTACTCTCTTATCTCCATCGTCATATCAGCTGGCCCACATTGTTGTCATCTTAAGCCGCAGGTAAATGCGAAATAAAACCTCGCCAATGGATTCCATGCGCCGGACACCTTACATAAAGCTTCAACAGATAAAGACCGAAATAGAATCAGGTTGTGATACGGGCAATATGAGAGGGAAAAAAGTAAAAAAAGGAGGTCATTGCATAGGCGTCGACACAACGCCAGCGAGGAGCCTATGCAAAGCAATGGGTTCCGGATGGGATAGATCGATGAGCAGAAAGAAACATTTCAAGGCGATGGATGGTAGATGGCTCGATCACAGAGAACGATTGTAGCAAGAGACAATGATCTCGGAAAAGAAGCGAAAGGCGGATCAAATTGCCGAGGCAAAGAACAAATTCTTCAAGCGGGCAAACGATATGGGTATATGTTCGCATCAAGGCTGTTGACACCAAGAAAGCAGAAATGTGAAAGTGTCTCTTCAAAACGTCTCACGAGCTGTTCGATCGTAGCAGGGCCTAAAAGTCCAATGAGCGATTGCTTTCTCATACAACATTTCGAGAGCGATAATCACTGACCCGTTCCATGGCGAGCTCATCATCTTTTGCAGCCGCGGGGCTCGAGAAGCCGCGATCGATGGACCCTGAAGCCGTGATGGCCCTTGTCTCCATACCAGGACGCTTCCCTTCAGAGTGGTGAATTTCGCCACTACTGGAAAGTCGGGACTCCTTGCTTTTCTCTAGTAGTGAACCGCCCAGGGTTGCACACTTGAGGATTGTCTGCATCATTTGGTTCTGTTTCAGAGGTTTTGACAAGTATTCGTCCATCTGAGCTTGTATACACTTCTCGCGATCGCCCAGCATGGCATGCGCAGTGAGTGCAATGATAGGTGTGCGAGAAAGGCCGGCCTCTCGCTCATATTCGCGAATCTTACCAGTGGCTTCGAAACCACCCATGACAGGCATCTGTACATCCATCAAGATAACATCGTAGCGACGCTGCTTGACGGCTTCGACCGCTTCCAATCCGTTGCCCACAACCGAGACATTATGGTTGTGCTTCTCTAAGATCTTGACCGCTAACTTCTGGTTCACGTCATTGTCCTCCGCGAGCAGAATGTCAAATGAGCGGGAATGATCGGTGGTGATTGGCGTAGATCGTCCTTCCAGAGCTGGGAGCATACCATTGCCGAGGTCTATTGGTTGACATGGTGTGGTCATGTAGGAACTGATACCAAGATCCAGCGCTGACTTCAAGCTCACGCAAACGAGGGGACAGACTAAGACAATGGGGACGTATTTGAAGTCATCATAGGTCCGTAATAAGCGAGCCGTGTCCACCGAATCCACAATTATAACATCATAAGCGTGACCCGACTCTTTGCCTGACGGATCCTGAATCTCTGGTGGTGGAACATGATCTTCGTCCCTCACTACTATAGGCTCCAGCTCGAGCTGCTTCAGCATCTTAATGATGTTCTCCGCCTGAAGACCGTTCTGGCCCTTGTCGATGAAGAGAACCCGGTGATGCTTATACGGCATGAGCTGTGACGCGATGACGTTCAAGGACTGATCGGCGAGCTTCACAACGCAGGTGAAATGGAACGTGCTGCCATGACCGTACTCGGATGTAACCCAGACATCACCGCCCATCAGGTTGACTAGTCGCTTGGAAATAGAGAGGCCGAGACCTGTACCGCCGAATCTCCGTGTGGTGGATCCATCTGCCTGCTGGAAGGTGTCGAATATGAGATCCAGCTTATCCTCTTCAATACCAATGCCAGTGTCGGAGACCGAAAACTCAAAGGCATATTCGTTGGGGGCACATTGCTCTCGGTCTGATTTGCGAATCGTAAGCTTGACCTCGCCATGCTCAGTGAACTTGATGGCATTGCCGACCAAGTTCAAAATAATCTGACGCAGACGGAAAGGATCGCCAATGACATAGTCCGGCACAGTATTGTCAACTTGATATGTCAGACTGAGGAACTTTTCGTTGGCCTTGACGGCCAGCGTCTTGAGAGCGTTGAACACGGTCCCCCTCACTGTGAAAGGAATGCTTTCAATGACCATCCGATTGGCTTCAATCTTGGAAATGTCGAGTATGTCGTCGATGATTGTTAGCAAGCTGTTCGCCAAGTTATGCACTACATTCAACATCTCGCGCGTGTAAGGCTTCAGGTCGTCAGTGTCTAGAGTGAGTTGTGTCATGCCAATGATGCCGTTCATGGGCGTCCGGATCTCATGACTCATGTTTGCCAGAAATTCGGACTTTGTACGATTTGCCAGCTCAGCTGCCTCCCTGGCAGCAGTGTTACGCTGAATACTGTCTCGGAGATTAGAGACCATCTTGTTGATCTTGCGCTTGAGTTCATCCATCTCCCCGGAAGCGTTAACAGTGATGAGCTTAGTGAAATCGCCGTCGGTTGCAGCATCGGTGATCTCACCAAACGCACGCACCTGCGAAGTCAGGTTCTCAGCCATTGTATTGACATCCTCGGTGATCTCCTTCCATGTTCCGGCAATCCCCTCCACGTTGGCTTGACCGCCCATTTTCCCGTCCACGCCGACATCGCGAGCGACCTTTTTAAGTTCAGTTGCGAATTTCGCAAGACGATCCACCATGTGATTGATCGTGACCTTGAGAGTCAAGATCTCTCCTTGGGCATGGACTTCGATCTTCTTGCTGAGGTCACCCTTCGCGATAGCCTGCGTGACGTCTGAAATACTTCGGACCTGGGACGTCAAATTCTGGGCCATGGTGTTGACATTGTCTGTGAGATCCTTCCATTTGCCTTCCACATTGTCGACCTTGGCTTGGCCGCCGAGGGTACCATCTGTGCCGACTTCCCTGGCAACTTTGCTCACTTCGAAGGCAAAAGTATTCAGTCGGTCGACCATGCCATTGATGGTGCTCTTAAGATCTAGTATTTCACCTTGAACGTTGGCCGTGACCTTCTTGGTCAGGTCGCCTTTCGCCACGGCAGTCGTGACATCGGCGATCTCCCTGACTTGGGTGGTCAGGTTGTTTGCCATTCGGTTGACATTCTCAGTCAAGTCTTTCCAAGTGCCTTCCACATCATTGACGGTCGCTTGGCCACCTAGAACACCATCTGTACCGACTTCCTTGGCAATCTTGGTGACCTCCTGGGCGAACTGCCGCAGTTGGTCCACCATGGAGTTGATGATGTTCTTAAGCTCAGCAATTTCTCCTTTGCAGTTGGCTTGAACCTTCTGTGTCAGATCACCCTTGGCCACGGCCTTGGTGACGGTCGCAATGTCTCGCACTTGTGTAGTCAAATTGTTTGCCATGGCGTTGACGTTGACAGTCAGCTCATTCCACATGCCTTGGACACCTTCGATCTGGGCCTGTCCACCCAGGACACCTTCAGTACCGACATCACGAGCGACACGAGTGACCTCCGTTGCGAACGTGCGCAGTTGATCAACCATGGTGTTGATGGTCTGTTGCAATTCCAGGATTTCACCCTGAGCACGACTTTCGATCTTCTGACTGAGATCGCCATGGGCGACGGCGGTCGTCACCGCCGCAATTTCACGCACCTGGTCAGTGAGATTCTTGGCCATGATGTTGACGTTCTCCGTAAGCTCCTTCCAAATACCGTGAACCCCAGTGATCTGAGCCTGTCCACCAAGGATACCTTCCGTGCCGACCTCTCGGGCGACCCTGGACACCTCACTACCAAAAACCTGCAGCTGGTCCATCATCGTGTTGATCGTGCGCTTAAAAGTGGCAATCTCAGGGTCCATTTCAAGCGGATGAATCTGCACCTTCATGGACAAGTCACCATTCGCGACTTGCGTGATGATGCCACCAATTTCCCGAAGGGCTTTCTGGAAAGCCTCATTGGCTTGCTGGTGCTTGCGTAGCTCGCGTTCCAACAGGACCACATCTTCATTCTCAACCTTGGTCAACGCCCGTCGCGTGTGCTCCTCCTGCTGTAGTAGCTCGTCCCGAACTTGAGCGATGATGTCTTTTTGAAAGCTTATCTCCTCCGCCTGTTTCTGTACATGATTCCGCAGATAACTGATGTCTTCCTCGCGAACGAGTCGAGTTCTCGAGTCTACATCGTCATCTCCATCACTGTCGTCGTCGTCGAGTGCCTCATCGGCTTCATTGTCTTCCGCTTC